TTGTGGATCAGGGCCTCGATCTTTGCCGGTTTTGCTCTACTGGCAAGACGCCGAGGCAGCAGAGCCAAGTCCCGAAGCGGCCGAAGCGGTTGAAGCAGGCGAAGAATCCGACGCTGAAGCAGAACCACAACGGCGGAGGCCAGGGAGGGTGAGCACATGGGATGCCATAGATCTATTTTCATACGTTTTGTCATGGATATGGACATGACGTATATGATAGCGTATGATAACAATTATCATCATGACCGTAATAAGATCAATAAGACTATGAATGATAATGAATGATAACAATAATCATACACAGTAACAAACAACAACAAGAACAATAACACCAATAACAATAACAACAGGAATGCTACAATACAGCTTACATACGGTATGCAGATATGTATATGGATACATATGTAATGTATGGACATGCCATCACTCTGGGAACTGTTTCATATATTATTTTATTTAGGACTGGAGAAAATTTCTCCAAGATTGCAGTTTTATCCAAGTTTGCGGCCGGTTGAGATATTTCTCTTGATTCAACACAGCTGCGTTCCCTCAGCATGTGTGGAACAACCAGAAGGCAAGATTGGTTCATTTATTTGCGATCATTTCTGGATCCTAGTTCATTGTCAAAGGACGAGCAGATTCTGTTCCGGAAGTGGCAGAGTCTATTCTCCACTTTGTAGATCTTTGATGATCTTTGTAGAATGCACAAATTCCAGTGGCTGAACTACCGTCTTATGTCTTCGGCGCAAAGAAAACATGCTCCGGGCATCTCCGGGCAAACTTGCCAACTTTTGGATATTCTCAAGCCCGTGGTTGAGGAAGACATGGAAGACCCGCAAAAGACCAGAATAAGTTACAATCTGCAGAAGGATTACCACGTGCAAAGTATGCTTTCAAAGTTCATTGTGGAAGAAGAGCGACATGGCTAACATGGTCCCATGCTGGAATATTGAATAGTGCATGCATCGGAAAAATAATCTCAATCCTAGTTTGCATCCTGATGATCGTTCTCTTGGCTTGTTTGCAAGCTACTGTTCTCCAAATCTGTGACTTCCTGAGGCTAGTTACCCTAATTTCAAAAATGCTGAGGGATCCAGCATGGATGCCAACAGGGGCAGGCGTAGTGGATGGCGTAGTGGATACTGCTGCAACAAACTCAGCAAGCACTGCGACAGGAAGGAAGGGCGGACAATGCCGGGCGGATACTATGTTCGTTCAATGGAGGAAGCTCACCGACAAACCATGCGGGTTTGGACCTTGCTCTAAGAGGTGACAATGAGACATGCTGAGTACAAGAGCGACATGATGTGATAAATGACATTCACTGAACTTAACTTCATTGCCATTTCAGGTGCTTTGCATGCTTTTGCCCAGCTACAGTCTCGTTGTGCCGAGTCTTATGGAATCTCAGCTTGCCAAGGCCTTCAATGTTCGACTTTGTAAACCTTACCAGCGGCCTGTACAGCAAGAAGAGGAGGACCGAAGCTCACCTTGAAGCCCAAAATGGGAACACATGTCGCATGCCATGCCGATCCATGCCGCGTGCTTCGCACTTTGTCTCGTTTTCTCTCCATTTCTCTCTGTTTCTCTCCTGGTTTCTGCATCTTTCTGCAGCTGGCAGTGCAAAGGAGGAACTCCCTCCTCTGGAGCCAGAAGAAGAGGAGCTAGACAAGGTGCGTCCACAGTCCGCGGTGTCACATCCCCCGTACACGGGGCAGATTTTTTTCCATGTTTGAGGACCTAAGAACCTTGTTCATTTTGTGCTGCATGGTAGAGCAGTTCTTTGATCTTGTATTATGAAGGATTATGAAGGATTATGCAGGAATGCAGTCCAAAGAGGAAATGTCGATAGTGCTAGCAGCTATACTAGCAACATCTAGAAACACGTGATTTTGAGAAGTTACCAATGGGTGTGCGCGGGATACCAGGACGCTTGGGCAGTTTGTTGGGACTCAAGTTTTCATACACTCATCACCGTGCTTTGAGCATGTCCTAATCATGGGCATATTTTGCTTCTGCGGTCAATGCTCACTGTCGGCCATTCGTTGCAGGCGACTTCCAGCCTGCCTTCACGCGCTGCTCGTTTGGCTGCTCAACGTCTACGCAACGGGCAGGACTTAGAGGGGGTACTGAAGGTTTGCGTGTGTCCTGGTGATGGGACCGGTGGTCGTGGTGTGTCTTGGAGCCATTGAATATTCATTGCCTGTTGATATTTTGTACATGACGTGTCAATTTACGTGTCTTGAGATGGGTAAATTCATCCTGCAAATTGGTTCTTGCAGATGATTCGAGCCTGCTTTGTGATAGTTGCGATAGTTGCAGTGAAAGTTCGTTGGAATCGAATCGGTGCCTTTCAGGAGGTTTCGAGGGAACAGCAGAAGAAGCGCGAAGAAGAGGAAGCTGAACGACGACGGGAGGCGAAGACTGTTGAACAACAAGCAAGGATTTATCTTTGGCTGTCAAAAGATGTCAAAAGGGCTGCGGAGTCATCCACAGGACAGTAATCAAAGTATTTGAAGCAAGAATACATTATAATACATTTCACATATTTCATTTTTTTCATGCAATATTTTGCAATTATTATTGTGTTTTCGCAATTGGTTATATCAAGTTAAATATTAGTTTGTTTTTATATTGTATATATTAGATTATATTAGTTTGTTTGCCAAACAGCTGCTTGTTGGTCTTCCAAAACAGCGCGCTGCGTCAGGCGGAACGACGGGTTGAGCGGCGTCTGCTCGAGGCAAAGATTCGCTTCTTGGCGATTCTTCAGCTGTGACGCTGAACTCCCGTGGTTGGTCAGTCCAATGATTTATTTAAGGGCTGCCGCCCCTGCCGCCGACCCCGGAAAAAGAGAGAGCGAACAATAGTTTTCGACCAGTTTTCACTGGTTGTACAATGAGTCACGCAACAGCAGGGCTAAATTGTTCAATGCATAGCCGGAGCCTTTCATTCCAGGCAACTCTTGCAACACCTTCCACTGCTTTCTCTCTTCTGCCACCTTCGAACTTGTAGCTAGCGCTTCGAATGTTTCAAAAACCTTTCTGATCGACGGCAAGTTCTGCTTCGCTAACCTGCACAAGCAAGCGTGCCGCAGAGCTTGCGCAGCAGCAGCAGCTGGTCCAGGAAAGGGTCTGATGTTCTCCGCGTTGGCAATCTCGTCTTCGCTTTCCGGCTCTTGATCCAACAGCATTGCATCCGATCTGCTTGCGAGATGCCATGTGTTCGCATGAATCTTCTGAGGCGAATATCTTTTGTGAAACGGCTGCGTTGGAATCTGCAAAGCATCCCCGAAAATTGTCGCAAGGTTCTTCGTCGAGCCAGATGCTAATAGATCCAACTTTATTGTTGCAGCCTTCTCCTGAAGCCATCTCAGCATGCCGTCGGATCCAGTGAAGAAGACAAATAGAGTGACGGCGAGCAAGATCACGCCACTAGGCACATCTTTGGCCGCAGCACTTCCCATATCAGCAAGGTTCTTGATATACTGCACGCGCCGCTGATGCCACGCCGAGTTGTTGCAAACCGGCTCCATGGCGCGGTCCCCGCTGCGTTGTTGTTGTTGTTGTTGTTGTTGTTGTTGTTGCTGTTGTTGTTGTTGTTGTCGTTGTCGTTGTCGTTGTCGTTGTCGTTGTTGTTGTTGTTGTTGTTGTTGTGTTTGTGTTTGTTGTGTTTGTGTTTGTGTTTGTGTTTGTTGTTGTGTCTGTTGTTGTGTTTGTTGTTGTGTTTGTTGCTGTGGTTGTTGTTGTTGTTGTTGGTGGTGGTGGTGGTGGTGTTGGTGTTGGTGTTGTTGTTGTTGTTGCTGTGTTTGTTGTTGTTGTTGTTGTTGTTGTTGTGGTTGTGGTTGTTGTTGTTGTTGTTGTTGGTGGTGGTGGTGGTGGTGGTGTTGGTGTTGGTGTTGGTGTTGTTGTTGTTGTTGGTGTTGGTGTTGGTGTTGGTGTTGGTGTTGTTGTTGCTGTGGTTGTGGTTGTGGTTGTTGTTGTTGTTGTTGCTGTGGTTGTGGTTGTGGTTGTGGTTGTGGTTGTTGTTGTTGTTGTTGGTGTTGGTGTTGGTGTTGGTGTTGTTGTTGTTGTTGTTGGTGGTGGTGGTGGTGGTGTTGGTGTTGGTGTTGGTGTTGGCGTTGGTATCACCACCCTTTTATAAATGAAATTTCAGAGGGGGGGTATCCCTTGAAATTTCATTTATTGTGTTTCATTTTTTTTCCATTGATCAGAGATTTCAATCAGATTTAGCGGGCTGCCCAAAGCCATTTTGGATCATGAGCCGGCCGCGTCAGTGCTGTAGCTGAAGCCTCCCCCTGCCCTGTTGCAGCTCCACCTCGCACCGCCACGGCCTTCCTGAGGCGAGATCATCCCCTGCACATGCGCAGGATTGGATGCCATTGGATGAAGTGGATGAAAGGATGGAAAAATGGATAAACTCCTTATCACCATCTTGCTGATACACAAAATGAAATGCATCAATGACCCAAGAGCAGTGGCAACATAGGGGGTATTTAAGTTGCATGGCACATCTGCGAAATGTCTGGATTTGATATGATATTTATGATATTTATAAAGGCTTCATATGGATTGTTAAGGGGATTTGATATGGGATTCTAGGGATTTAGTGAGTCATTAAATCTCTATTGTCAAACCCAGCCCATTTCCATATGGAGGTTTCCTAAAATACAGTGCCCCCAAATCATCCCATTTATAGATGGATTTCCCATGACATAAACCATCCAGCTATGGGGGTACCCATGACTTAGGAAACCTCCCATATATGTTTTGGTCTTGATCCATCCCAGAAGGGGTTAACCAATGACGGATTTTGCATCACCTTTGGCGTTCACCGGCGTCCACTTGAGCTCACTTTTTCATGGCTAGTTGGCCCCTTGGTAGCCTCTGGGATTGAATGACTCATCTATGGCTCTGCCAGCTGTCGTGGTGCTTCAGTTCATCCATGTCCGTTGTTTCATCAAAAAACACACAAATTCCCTGGGTCTTGCCGAAAGCTCCACTCCAAAATTATCCAAACATCTCCATCAGTTGGAAGCCTTTTGGCAAATTTCGTTGGAACAACTGGGGCTGTCTGAAAATTGAAGGGAGCGTCCCCAACTTTGATGGGTTGAGCATCAGTTTCCCTATGGGTTGAGTGGCCAAACATTGGGGCATTTTCCCCAAGTCATTTCATCCCTGGCGCGTCAGGCGGTAGTGCCGAAGCCGTTGAATTAGCCCCTGTGGAAGAGAATTGACATCTCCGATGTGGGCCCTCCAGAGGAGGCTGATGGTTGGGATATGTTGGGATTTTCTCATGTCATGGGGTTATAAAAACATACTGAAGGAATCGGAAATATATTGAAAGACAAAGTATGCATAGACCGTCTCAAAGCTGTTGTTCCTTTTTGTGTCGTATCATGTACACATCAATTCAGCTTTTGCCAGCGGAATGCCGCAGCTCACACTCCGCCAAGTCGCAGGCATCCTCGAGTTCAAAGAGACTGGAGTACAAATATGTCATTCGGCACCCTCCTGGTGTCAAGCCTCCCACCCGCACTGGTTGGACTGTGTCAGGGACAAGCGCAGAAATTAGGGCGAATCTTTGGGCATCCAGTTTGGAGCCCCTTTTTGAAGTTTCTCAGGGCCATTTGGGGCAGGTGAAATCCAAAACACGCATGGTTTGTGCTGCTTTCCAGGTTTCAAGCTGTGTACATTTCCGCGGTAGATTCTTATCACGGCCAAGCCGCAGGAGGAGGGGCCTGAGATTCTGGAGCATAGTCAGGCCGCAGCAGCACCAGAAGGGCAGCCCCGCGGCTGGTGCATTGCAGTGGTTGGAAACCTCTGTGAGTTTTGTGAAAATCTGGGAAAACCACGGGAAAACCAGAACATCCCATGGTTATTCCACGGTTTGGAAAGCAACTTCCTCACTAAAATGGCGAATGGAGAGTAAATCCACGAGTGTTTTTTTACAAAGAAACACCATGCAGAAACCATAATTCAGTAGTCTTTGTATAGGGGATTGGAAATGTATTAGGAACAGTGACTACTAGACTGAATCTCGAGATAACTTCAAGTTCAATTTTTATATTCTTTGATATTCTTTTATAATTTTGATTTCGGTTCCGGATTCGGGCGCCACATTCGGGCCCCGGATTCGAGCCCCGGATTCGGGCCCCGGATCCGGGTTTCGGATTCGGGCCCCGCATTCGGGTCCCGGATTCGGGTTTATTGCGGGTTCGGGTCCCGGATTCAAGCCCCGGTGTGTGAGGAAGGTGGTTCATTTAATGAATTCAGTAGGGAAGTTTGGTAGGCAGATGTAGGCAGGTAGGTAGGACCTAGGGGCGCAAGGAATGGCAGGAGATGGTATCAATGCATCAATTGGTATTGCAATGTATTGCAAACATGTAGCCGTGGGAAAATGAGGATGTCTTTCATTACAAACGTTTGATCCTTTCCTTTCTCTTCGATGGGGGTCCGCAGCATGATATTATATTTGCGGCAAAGTCGAGTAGGTGATTCTATCATCGGTTCTTAACCTATTTTCCTCCGCCACAGTCAAATTGAATATGCCGTGGCCATGGGGATTTAGTAAATTTAGTAAATGCAATGCTTACGTTCACTACGTAATTGAACACATAGGAACAGATGCAAACAAACAATATTTCCCGAGTCTTTGTTAAATATGTTAACGCGGGATTTATTGTGTGGCCACAGGGATTTAGTAGGTGCAACGCTCAGAAGCGTTATTTTGTCAGCAGTTGAAAGCATAGGAACGCATGGAAGGAAACACTGTTTTCCAGGCGCACAGCATCACCGGAACCTTACTTTACGGCGCACCAGAGGCAGAAGAGTGTGCTGTACCACTGTACCAGACATTGGCCAATCATTTTGAAGTCGAATCTATCCTAATCAATAGCTTCGTTTTCACGCTTGCAGGTAAATAGATAGATAGATAGACAACTACAACTACAACTACAACTGCCACTACACTACAACTACAACTACCACTACAACTACATCACACTACACTACGCTAACTGCAGTACACCACATTACAGCTACAACATAGTGACCCCCTCGGCCACTGAAATTTTAGGGGAGGGTATGTGAAAGAATTTCTGAAATATATTTCGCTTGCACGTCTGGAGCAGTTTGGCTCACAAATGCATGTATGGCATCGCAGGTATGATGAAATCCGTGCTGTGAAACAGATTTGGGCATATCGGCATATCATTCCCATATTGGGGCACCAACAAAAGTCATTTTCAACAGAGCAAATGATTGAAAATCATCATATAATATAAAACATATAATATAAACAATCCACTTGGGGGGTCCGAATTTTGAGACATAGACATCCGGCTTATGACTCTCGGATGCCGAATCCACTGCTGTCGAGTGCGACAAGAGATTTCAAGCCCAGCTCCATGAGTCTTGGCGAAGGTGCCACGCGTCCTGTAGCTCCACGTTCTACCATCCAGAACTTGGGGGTTGATAATACCTTATTCAGGGCCATTTAACACCAGGTTTAACTTCATCCGAGTTCGTGTTTGTTCATTTATGTTCATCATTGTTCATCGATTGCCGCTTCCTTTTCCAATTGCACGGCTTGGAGGGACAGGCAACCAGATTTGGCACGATTTGGCAATTTTTTGTAATTTTTCGCGTTTAAAACTTGTGAATTTGTTGAGCCGTCTTGGGGACCGTTTTCTGCGGATTGCATGGTATGATATGGTATGCACATGTATGATATTGTATGATACAAACCTCCTCTCCTGCACCTCTCCTGCACCTCTCC